CCCCCCCCCCCCACCTCCCACCCTCCCCGATTGAATATTTTATTCTGGAAATTTCTGATTGTTTCAGTGGAGTGACATGTCTTAAAGCCATCAAGTAGTATTACAGTTACTGCAGTATGCTGGCAAGCATTTGATCATGAGCACTAAACAGGAGTTAAAAAAACCATAGACTTTCAACAAGGAGAAGAAACCAGGAGAAAGACTTAAAGTTTGTGAGAAACTGGCTACATATTTATAGTGAAATACGGCAGGAAGAAATCCGATTAATTTCTAAGCTACAGTCACAGATATCAAAAGTTGAGCAGGGAATACAAAAATCCGTCTCTACACAGCTAATGAGTTCATATCTGGAACAACAGTTTCAGAGCCACAGAAACCTGGGACTAATTGGAGACTGTAAAAAAAATCAGGTAAGGGGACAGAGGCGTGAATTTGTGAGGCAAATCTTGCCACCAAATTCTATTTTCTTTAATCACTCAAGAGATTCTAGTGAAGTAAATGGGATAACTTAGACGAATAATGTGACCAAGACTTGTCTTAGATAAGCTTGGTATGGGCTGCTGACTGAAGAGATGACTACATAATAGATTAGGAGCTTGTTAAAGGAGAAAAGTAACCCTGTGATCCATAGTTTACTGTTCATGCTTGGTCTTAGGTCTTTAATAAATTAAGTATTGGCTTAAGGTCTGAGGCATGAAATTTTATGTCAGTTTCAAATTTTTCTCCCATTAATTATTACCTCTGTGAATGTTGCCATTATCAACAATAATATCTTTTTCTATTGTGTCCAATTCTTGGCCCTAGCAGTCATGCATACCATGTATGATATATGGGAGGAAACATTTTCTTTTCCTAACAGAAAATGAAGTTCCTTTTTGTTTACCATCCTCTTCTTATGCTGGTGGAAAAGAGCTCCTGTGAGCTTTGCATCATTCACTACTTTGCAAATTTTATTTGCTTGAGTGGTTATTAGTTCAAAGAAGGCACATAAAACCCCCTCAGCGCTGCTTCACGTGTTCCCCATTTTTTTGGTCCATCATTTTATGAACTCCAGAGGTGGTTCTGCCGTCCCTGCAGGGAGGGCTAGAGCTGGGCAATGTAGCCCCTGAGGCACCAAGCCCTAGCCAAGGACAGCGCCCGAGTAACTCCATCCAGGGCACTGGTGCTGGGAAAAAGAAGACTGGGATGGAGGATCCGTGTTTTCAGTCACAGCAGGACAAGCTGGGTGTCAGAGCCAGCACGGTGGCTGGGGATGAAACACAGGGTGAGGACGGGGGCGTGCGAAAGCAGAGCCCGGGAAGGCAGAGAAGTCACAGTGTGACTTCAGACTGATTTAAAATGTGGACTTCAGCGGAAGCAGAGACATGCCTCATGTTTTGACATACAAACATCAATCCTGGGTAATCTTCTGTTGTTTCTGTGGCTCACAGAAGATGACTGAAGATGTCTGATTACTTTAACTTTCTGAGTAGTTTTGGTGTGCGTATGCTGGGCACTCCTGATACTTCTCTCACCAATCCTGCTGCTGAGCAACGAGGCTCGAGCAAAGTAAAGGCAACAGCCTTCTGCCACGTTGTTAATCAATTTGTAAATTCTACAGCTGCTCTGAAATGCAAATAAAAAGAAAGTAGATGGCACAAGAGGTAAATATATCTTTTTAGTGTTTAAAATAAACACAGAAGGAATTAGGAAAAATAAACTGAATTTTTCCTTCCATTTGTATTCAAAGGCTAGCTTAATATAGAAAGCTGAATTTATTTTTTGCCTTTTTTAATAAAGTGGAAAAAATATTTTTTTGGAGCTCATAAGATACAGTCTATCTCCATCTGTTACCTTACGATCATCAACCAAAAATTATAAAAATGGTAAAAAACTCTTCTTATTCTAAACTATATGGGTATTTCAGACTTCCATTTGAATCAAAGTATTAACTGCTGAGGTACTTGCTCCACTTCAACATAAATGTGCAATCAGCTCCACTGGATTTTCCTTTAAGGAAGGATATTGTTAAGAGATATGGAAAAAAACCAAAAAGGTTCTGTGCTGCCTCATAGCAGGCTAGACTAAATGAGGATGAAAAC